TTCTTCTTTTAAGATATGTCTTTATGTGTGCTTATAAAGTTCTTTTCTCCAATTTTCAATTTTATTATTTTTTATTCCAGCACTATATTTTCCTCTGGCTGATTTATATTTTTAGTTTTAATGCTTAAAATGTCAATCCAGCAAGGCAAGGTAGCTCACACCTATAACCCCAGCACCTTGGAAAGCCAAGGTGAGAGGACTGCTTGAGGCCAGGAGTTCAAAACCAGCCAAGGCAAAATAGCGAGACCTTGTCTCTCTACAAAAAAATTTTTTAAAGTAGCCAGGTGTGGTGGTACACACCTATTGTCCCAGCTATAGTCCCAGGTTGAGGCAGAAGAATCACCTGAACCCAGGAAGTTGTGGCTGTGATAAGCCATGATAGTGCCACTGCACTCCAGCTTGGGCAACAGAGTGAGACCTTGACTCAAAAAAAACCAAAATGTTAATCCACCTGGAATCTAATTTAGTGATTGATATGATATGAAGATCTCTATACATACATATAGTATTTTTTCTTTTCTTTTTCTTTTTTTTTTTTAAGTCGAAATTTCATTCTGCCGCCTAGGTTGGAGTGCAGTGGCAAGATCATGGATACCACGGCCTCAACTTCCTGGGCTCAGGTGATCCTTCCACCTCAGTCTCCTCCCAAATAGCTGGGATTACAGGTGAATGCCCAGCTAATTTTTTTATTTTTATTTTTTGTAGAGCTGAAGTTTCACTATGTTGCCCAGGCTAGTCTTAAACTCCTGGGCTCAAGTGACTCTTTGGCTTCAGTCTTTTGAAGTGCTAGGATTACAGGCACAAGCCACCATACCCAGCCAAGATCTATATATTTTTTTAAATTAAAAATTAGTATATAAGAAAAAAATAAGGTGGTCTTGGAATCATTCAACTCTAAGTATAAACTTTTGGGGTTTTGCTCACATTTTAAAAAGATAGAAATTCTACATAGTCATAAATAGATTACATTTCTTATCATCACAAAGACTATTTTTTGAAAAACTCAAATATCTATGGAGAATATACACTGTGGGGGTTTTTTTTGTTGTTGTTGTTTTGTTTTTAAGGGATGAGACAAGGTCTCACTCTGTCACCCAAGTGGAAGTGTAGTGACACAATTTCGACTTCTGGGGTCAACCTCGACCTCCTGGACTCAAATGATCCTCCTGTTTCAGCCTCCTGAGTAGCTGAGACCACGCCCAGCTAATTTTTAAAATTATTTTATAGATACAAGATCTCGCTATGTTGCCCAGGCTGGTCTTGAATCCCTGGGTTCAAGTGTTCTTCCCTTTTCGGCCTCACAAAGTGCTGGGATTACACACCACACCCAGCCCACTATAAAAATTTTAAAAGGAGAAAGAGATTATCTGAAAAACTAAGAATCAGGAAGTCTTCAATGGACTTTTATGCTGAAGAATACAATAATTAAAATATAACTTCCACAAACAGAAAAAAATATTTATTTAATGACATGGGGAATAAAAGCATGGGAAAAAGGTAAGATTCAAAACTTTATAATTTTCTCCCTCTCTCTAACTGGAAAATTACATATACCAAAATGCATTACTTTTATTTTATTTTATTTTTATTTTTGAGTTGGAGTCTCACTCGGTCGCCCAGACTAGAGTGCAGTGGCTGCTCCCGGCCACCGCAGCCTTGCCTGCTGGGCTCCGGCGATCCTTCCGCCTCAGCCTTCCGAGTAGCTGGAATTACAGGCATGCACTACCACGCCCGGCTGATTTTTTGATTTATTGTAGAGATGAGGTCTCGCTGCCCAGGCGGGTCTCGAACCCGCGGGCTCAGGCAATCCACTCATCTCAGCCTCCCAAAGGCGCGGGATTACAGGCTGAGCCACCGAGCCCAGTGGATTACTTTTATAAGCAGAGAAAATAAACATTCTAAAAATGTTCAAATTACATTCCACACAAATCCTAAATTCCTCCTGACAGGACAGTATTTCTAACAGTGTCCTTAATCTGATCAAGCCAGCGAGAACGACACATTGTCTTCCCTCATCAGTTCATTTGTGTCTCTCCCAAAGCCACCCACTTTCAAAGAGATGACCTTGCTAGACAAAGAACTATTGTTGAAGCATAAGTTAATTACTTGGCTTTCCTCTGGAACCCCCAGTATCTCAGTTTTGAATGTGGGTTAAAAAAATTCTAACTGCTACAAACATCCTCTCTTGTAAGCCACAGCAAAAGAGTCAAGGATATTTAAAATGGAGAACAGGAGAAGGTATCAATGTTTTTCCTCATTAATCATGGGATTTCTTTATCAACTGATACTTCACAGGTCACATTCACAGTGTATATGATCTCTACTATTTATGAATGTGATTCTTGCTGATATTCTAAGGAAACAGAAATCAGATGTTTTTGGTTCTGATGTTCCAACTAATTTGGGAAGTCATTATCAGGTCTAATTTCAAAGGATTTTGAACCAGATCATGACTAGCCTAATCTTTCCATTACAGGTAAGAATAGTTAATTATAATCTTATTTATAGCTAGACCATTTGCCAGTGTGCTTCCCTTCTGTGACTCAGAAATGACGATAACTACAAGGCTACCTCTTCTACCTACCCCTGCTCTGGGCCACTCCAGACATAGCATAAGCTTTGGCTAGCAATGCACTTGTCTCTGCGGTTTTGGGGCTGACATCAGTGAACAAAGAAACACAGATAGAATGAGCCTGAAATAAAAAAAATAAAATGACAAGGTAAGTACTCAAATGACAGTGTTTCACTGTGGATTTCCTAGTAGCTCTTATAAAATTGCTAGGTGATCAAGAGCTAATATATAGCTAATCATGGAGTAAGATGAAAGATAAGCTTGAGTCCCAGCTTTGCCACTCCTAGCTGTGAGTCTTGAGCAAGTAATTTCACCTTCATACGCAGCAGGAATATATAGTTCCCACTGATTATGGCTTGGGAAAGATTAAGTCAGATAGTATATGCAAAGCACTAGGCACAGTACTCATCACATGGTAAGTTCTCAATAAATGTTAGCTAGTATTATTTTTATTATGTTTCATGGCAAAAATAACATTATAACCTTAACTCAGCCTCTCAAGAGTTCAGTCTCAAAGACAGTCTTGGAAAACAGATTCAAGAGCCACGCTGCCTGAGCTCCCATCCAACTCAGTCACTTACTGTGATATATGGCAAGTCACTTACCCTCTTCAAATGTAAAGCAGGGATGATAAAAATAGTATTTATCATGAACAGTTATTGGAAAAATTAAATGAATACATGCAAAGTATTTAGAAAACTACCCAGGATAGTAAACACTAAGTATTAGATTTTTAAATCATTATTTGTTCTAAAATAGAAGGAGCACTTAGGAAGGAGCAATATCTATTGTTGAAGGATAAATTAATCACTTGGATTTCCTCTAGAACTCCCAGGACCTCATTTTTGAATATAGGTCAGAAAAATTGAAAGAAGAGGGAAACATCTTGTCCACACCCCACCAACAACAAAAGAACCACCTGTGGTTGATATTTCCCAGGTCAAACACTGTGAGGTGTTTCAAAGAACTGAAGAGATTATCCAACAACACTCTGGAGCTAAGAGACAGAGTTGTTATGAGTACATGCTCTAGAGCCAAATTTTGAGTTCAAATCCTTGCTCCACAACTTGTTATCTATACAAGTTCAGCTAAATTAGCTATAAATGTGCTTCAGTTTTCTCATGTTAATGAGATAAAATAATAATGGCACCTACTGGATAGGGCTATTGTATAGATTAAATGAATCAATATGTCCTCTAGTGCACTTAGTAAAAGCATTCCATACATTTCAACTCTTATTTATTTATTTTGAGTTGGAGTCTCTCACTCTGTTGTCCAGGCTGGAGTGCAGTGACACACTCACAGCCATCCCAGCGTTGATCTGCTGGGCTTCGGCAATCCTTCTGCCTCAGCCTTCCAAATAGCTGGAATTATAGGCGCGCCTGGCTAATTTTTGATTTATTGTAGAGACAAGGTCTCGCCAAGTTGCCTGGGCTGGTCTCGAACCCGCGGGCTCCCAAAGTGCTGGGATTACAGGCTGAGCCACCGAGCCCGGCCTCAACTCTTATTTTTTGATGTTGTTGGGAAACATTGATATTTGTTATATCCATTCTGGGCTGATCAATGCTTTACAAAAGTCTTGAAAACAAAAACCAGACGGGCTTTCTCAGTAAGCAGTGGAATCCCTGTTTCCAAAGCAGCATTCCCTAGCATTTCTCCTTCGTGTAATATTGATAATTTGGGATTATCAGATTGTTTGTGATGTCTTTTCTTCAGTATTGACTGTTTTCCTGTATGCTATTAGAGTGTACTGTACCTTTTCTACGATACAAGAAATCCAGTATTTTGACCTTTTTGTCACTATGGGAGATACTTGAAGCCTCAAGCGGCATTTTTATTTGGATGATAAAAAAAGTGAACTTAACTAGCAGTTTCAAGTACATGATACATAAAAACACCCTAAACTGTTATTATATGATAGACACAACACTCCTTCCTACGTTTTGTTTTGGTTTCCCCTGGTCATTTAGCAAGTGAAACACCCTTTCGTTAGTTTAACCTTACACTTAGAAACATAATCAGACTAGCTTAAAGGACAAATGATAACAATACACGAAAATGCCATGATTTTTCATTTAAAAGGCCCTTTGTGTTTGTGAAAACTTAAGTTCAGTTGTCCCTCTTTCTTTTTTCCTTGGAGTAGACTCACACTTAGCATTCTTCTTCCCAGCACCAACAGAGGAGAGGGGGTTTCTGGGGTGGAGGGGAAGTGGTGTCTACAGATCAAGTGACAGGGTACATCTACCCCAGTCAGTGTTCTCTGCCCAGGTCATTTAAAGTTGATGAAGGATTCTTTGTGGATTTGGAGAAAAGTCACTGTCAAATTTGAATCAATCTCACCCCTTGATCTTCAGAGAAGCCCAAGCTTCCCTGACCCTGAGAACTAGGCTTGGGACCAAAGAAGGTGACCCAGCTGGCTCCTACCAACCTGCTGCAAGTACTGGATGGCCTGGTTGTGGTTCCTCCTCAGCTGCTCAATCTGAGCGATTTCCTCATATAGACTGATCAGATCTGATGTCTTATCACCCTTGGCAGCAGTAACATTGCCAATTGCCTTTTCAAAGTATGCCAGAGCTAGGTTCAACCTTTGGATGGCCAAGGAGGCTCTATAGGAAAAGGGATGAAGATGGCAAGTCACAAATAGTTTGCAGACACAAAAGGAACTGACTCCAAGAATTAAATAATTTGGCATTCACAGGCCAATCATCTTGGTGACTGGCTAAAAGCCCAGCCTTGCTGTAAATAAACTTCTGTTATCTGCAGTTTACCCATCAGATTACACCGACTACCATTCATTAAACCTATGAATATGTCGTGCTATAATCTAATTTTATTTTATTTTTTAATGAAAAAGATGACTTCCAGTAATTTACAAGATTGATAATTTGCCCATAAACATAAACTTTCTAAAATCAAAATAAAATTTTATTACCTCTGGTTCCTACTCTTTCAGGCCAAAAAAAGTTTTTGCTTTGGTTTGTTTGATTTAGTTTGGCTTATTGCCCCTTGGTTAAAAATGAGAGCGGATAAAAAAATGTAAATATCCCCTAAAGGAACTGGTTAAATAAATGACAGCACATTATACAATAAAATACTTCAGAGACACTAAAAACCATGTTTTCTTTTTAGACTAACATGGAAAGATGTTCAGAATGTGCTAAGTGAAAAAAGCAAGATATAAAACTATACCTAAAATATGATATACAGCGAGGTTACAGATATATTTATCTCCAAAATGTTCACAGCAGTTATGTATGGGCAGTGGTTTTACAACTAACTGTGTTTTTTCTTCATATTTGTATTTTCATATTCTCCACAATAAAATTGGGAATATAATTTTTTTAATGAAGATAAGACAATATCTCATTGAAGTTTCTCTAGAAAAGAGACAGCATGGCAAAATGAGATGAATATGGGTAGCTCAAAGCCAGTCTAACAGTTATTAGCTTTATCAAACTTGCATTTCCTTCCAAATAAAACATGGTTAAGCATATCTATACTGCAAAATTGTTGTAAAGAATAAATCCCAAATGTAAAACCACCTAACATGTACACATACACAGTCAGTATTACTTCTCCTGGTCTCCTCCTTTGTGTTCCCAAAATGAATTAAAAATATATGTATGAGCTGGATGCAGTTGTGTGTACCTGTAGTCCCAGCTACTTGGGAGGCTGAGGTAGGATGATACTTGAGCCCAAGAGTCTGAGGTCAGCCTGGGCAACATAGTGATAGCCTGTTTAAAATTTTTTTTCTTAATTACACAAAAGGTGTGTATATACAATTATTTCATATGACACATTTTAGCAATAGTTACAATTTTTTTTTAAGCTGGCAGGTTTATCCTTCACCTGAAGATTGGAATTAACTAATCAAAAGAGCAGTACCATGTTATCTAATAATTTTTTATAAAAATAATTTTTTGATTAGGTGACTATTTCCATTGCCCATGAGAGCATAAATTATAGAATTATGATGATTCTCATCAAGAGCTTATCAGGAGAGATTAGCAAGTTGTCTGGCCTGAGCAATCTTGCCTTAATTTTCCTAGCCTTAAAATGGAAAAAGAGGCTTGCCCTTACTAGATATTTGGTCAAAATCAAACATAACTCACTGTGGGTTAGAAGGTGAGCTATGGATTCAGGTGCTCCAGTTACAATCCTGGCTTTTCAATTAGTTCTGTCACCTTGAGTCTTTTTGTATTGCTTGAGGCCAGGAGTTCCAGACCAGTCTAGTCTACATAATGAGACTTCATACAAAAAATTTTTTAAAAATTAGCTGGGCATAATGGCACACACTTGTCATCCTAGCTACTTGGGAAGCTGAAGTGGGAGGATCGCTTGGGCCCAAGAGTTCGAGGCTACAGTAAGCTATAATTGCACCACTCAATCCTGTCTGGGCAATAGAGTGAAATCCTGTCTCTTAAAAAAAAAAAAAAATTAAGCTGTGGTGAGGACTGAGTGAAGTAAATTATGCAAAGCACTTAGAACAGTATCTAATACAAAATAGACACTCCCAACACTTATATATGCAAAAATAGGCATTCAGCAAATATTACAGAATGAATGAAATGAACTCAAGAATTTTTCTGAAGAAAGCAAGCTATCTTTTATGGAAGGCAGAAAAATGTTGAGACCTAGGTGACAGCAGTAGACATTAACCAGACTCTAATTTATGGCCATGTGGACATAAGTCAATAGTCTGATTTAACTCTGGACATTCCAACATTTTCCTGCCATTTCCCATTTGACTTTTAGATTCATGGTTGTTTAGAGGAGGCAGACATGATGCATGTATTTCATTTACTCATCATTCAGTCATATGCCCTACATGCCAAGTGCTTACAGTTTTGGAAACAGATTGCTTTCAAGGATGTAAAGATATCTGAAAAATCTAGAGAGCAATAAAGTCTTTTTTTCCTTCAGATAATCTGATGGGTCCACTCTCATTTCAAAATATTCTGATTCTCAGAGGATCCCTAACTCAAAGCAAAACAGTTAAGGATTGTTCTGGCTTGAAAAAAATTCCATGAACTTTGTTTCCATATAGAATAAAACTTTCCTTAAAAACGCATGTGCTGTGCATAGCTTTCACAGCCTCCAGTTAATTGCCTTCATTAAGTGTACCTTCTTCTGTTGTCACCCATAGTGACAAAAGTAGGTGGCAATTTAGAAAAAAATGTAATCCTAGAATAAGTGAGACACATATAATGAAGGGCAAGAATCTGAGTTCAGATAGAGGAAGCAACACAAGCTATATCATCTTGGAAAATGTGTTTAACCTCAGTGTTAGTCTCCTTGACTCTCTTTAATTAAATAATAGTCATACCAACTACCTCAATGATTGTTGTGAGGATTAAACGGGGCAGTGGACATAAAGACTGAAGGACAATGTCTGCCTTTGATAAATAAGAACCTCTTTTATTATTATTTGCGCTTCTGAGATTTTTTTTTGCTCTGATTATTTTTTTCCTTATATCATGTAGCTTCAGATCTCATTCATCAAAGCCTCAGCTTCTCCAAGCTCAGATCTTACCTGCCCAATGCAATTGTTAGGTCTTTCTCTGAGATTTGTAATGCACAATCATCTCCATTATATGATTCTTTCAGCTCCTTCATATTTCTCTCTGCCTTCTGCAGGTTGAAATAGGCTTCTCTGCCAGTAAAACAGTCAAGGAAAATGCCAGGCATGCAAACTAGCAGTTGATAAGCAAAAAAAAAAAAAGAAAAAAAAAGGACCCCTTGGGAAAATGATGAAATATTTCAAATTAAGCACTTAACTCTGTTCTCTACTCTTACATGTGTATGTTGTCAAGAAGAAAGAATTCTTTAGAAAAGGAATAGGACCTTGGGTTTCCTATGGTGGTGCCTGAATCCCGGGCTAGAGTGGGTGGTGAGTGTTTGCAGGAATGAACGGAAACTGTAAATTATACTAGGTTTCCTTTCAAGGCATCTACTGCATGACAAGTTATTCATTTTTCCCCAGTTCATATGAATGATAAAAGAGAGGAACTAATTATGCTGAAAGGGACTTTCTAAATCATTTAGAAAGTTCAAGCAAAGCAGGTTTTTGGACAGAGATAAACAGCATAAAAGATAATCCCCTTAATTCCCAAATATCCTTCTCTTTCCCACATTTTCTTTTTCTTTTTTTTTAGACTGGAAAATATAGTTTATTTAGAAAGTAAATTAGAGAGAGAGAGAGAAAGGAGATTCACTACCCCAAGGTGGGGGAGGGGGCCAAAGCTAGAAAATATGGCCCAATCATAGCTCAGTGAGCACATGGCCTGGCCAGTGCTTAACAAGGCAATGGCCTCTTTCCCACATTTGCAATAGCACCCTAAGCATATAGGCCACACATCATATTTTTCAAGTTAAGACCAAAAAGTAGAGAGGAAGTTGTGTAGAAAAGAGAGTCATATGAACTCAAAGGTGCTCATGATTATTCATGAACATGAAATGTCCTTAACATCTTTTGAGTAGAGAAGGTACAAAAAGGCTTCCAAAATCACAAGCTTTTTGAAGAAAAGCACATATAACAGTCCCCTTAGGGGATCTAAAAAACTGCTTCTTTTGTCTATTTTGCTTGGCCTCCAGCCTCACTGGCAGTTCTCTCAACAGCATTTCAAAAAACTAAAGTGATCAAGTGTCAGTTAAATCAGTGGTTGTTGGCTGTATATTAAAATCACCTGGGGACCTCTCAAAACTCTCAATGAACAGATGCACCTCAGAATTACTAAATCAAATCTTTGGATTGGGACCCAGACAGCAGTAATTCTTAAAGCTCCCAGAGGATTACCAGCGCTGCCTAGTTTGCTAAATTGTGTTTTAAACTGCCACCCATTCTCTCCATTCCTACACTACCACCACTCTCACCATCTACTTCCTCATTGCTAATACTGTTTTTCTTGGGTGCTCAGTAAAGAACAGAACTGACTCATCTTTCAAATCAGGGCTTATGTGAACATACATAGGAGGAAAATACATACCTTCCTAGATGGAGATGAGAGGCTTGTGGAGGGCCTGGATCTTGGGCCTTGGTTTAATCTCCACCCTCCTGTATGAGATGACCCAATCTGGCATGTGTGGCCTGTGGCCCTACTCACTGAACCCCGTTGGGAAAGGAAGGATATTGGTTCTGTAGGAGCCAGGCTACTCCCAGAGTGTAATAAAGCATGATCAGCGCTTCCAGGATTTCCCTTTTCTCCATGTCTGAGGTCGTGTTTGCCTTCCAGGTCAACAGAGTGTTCCTGGCGGACTCAGCATGTCTCTTGGCTTGAACTGGGAGGCCTGGGGGAAGTTAAGGGTGTGTGGTAAGATCACTGAAAAAGACATTCCTAGGAGGGGATAAGGTGGGCAGTACAGTTGTCATATGGTCTATAGCAGGGGGTCCCAACCCCTGGGTCACAGATTACTAACTGGGCTGTAAGGCAGGAGGTGAGCAGTGGGCAAGCAAGCAAAGACTCACCTGTATTTACAGCTGCTCCCCATCGCTCACATTACTGCCTGAGCTCCACATCCTGTCAGATCAGTAGCAGCATTAGATTCTCATAGGAGCAGGAACCCTATCATGAACTGTGCATGCAAGGGACCTAGGTTGTGTACTCCTTATAAGAATCTAACGCCTGATGATCCGAGGTGAAGCTGAGGCGGTGATGCTAAGCACTGCAAATACAGATTAACATTAGCAGTGAGGTTTGGCTACACAGAGACCATAATAAATCAATTACTTGCAGACTCCTATCAAAAAAAGTGGCAGTGAGTTGAAGTCCTTCAATTGTACAACTGCATCTGGTAGCAGGCTTTAAGTCAGAATCCAACACTTATTTTAGTCCATGTGTGGCCCACCCATTATTTTATTTACTACTTTGTCCACATCTCTTTTTTTTATGGTGAGCTGTATAATTATTTCATTTTATACTGCAATGCAATAATAATATCAATAAAGTACACAATAAATGTTATGCACTTGAATCATCCTGAAACCATCCCCCACCCAGTGTGTGGAAAAACTGTCTTCCACGAAACTGATCCCTGATGACAAAAAAGGTTGGTGACCACTGGTTTATAGTGTTAGTTCCTAAATCTTGCTGTGAATCAAAATTACCTAAAATGCTTGTAAATAATATAGATTCCTGGGCACCACCCCATACTTACCAAGTTGGAATCACTAGAGGAGTAAGTTCCAGAAACCTCTTAACTAGCTTCACAAGTGGTTCTTATGCAGCCCTTCCAGCATTAGTCTATAGACCTCAGTTTGAGAACTACTAATAGAAAGAGTAGAAGTTGAGTATCCCCTTCCTGATTCTGCCACTAATGCCACATGACCTTTTCAACCCCCAAAGCTTCTCTATCCTCCAAATGTCAAATGACAACAATAATTATAGAAGCTGCCCCTTACCAAACACATGGAGATAGTCCAGGAACAAACTGGATTATTCCACAGAGTGTTGTGCTTTCAGCTTTTTGAAAGAGGCATTCTATAAATACAAAAGCTTATGAATGCAATTACTTCCATCTGGGAATTTTTTCTCAGTCCAAGATGAAGCTAGTGATACTAATTGGCCACACAACACACATAAAAGGATCCAATTGCTAAATGCAGTGAAGTCCCTCACTAAGAAAACAAAGGCAATGCTAACCTCCAGCTAGGCAGAACTGGGAGAGTCCCCCTCCCCCCTTTTTCTTTTAAAAAGATTTTAAAATACAGGCCCTTGTGTTCAGGGCTGACTTTGAATAGATTGCAGTGAGGGAGTTGCTGTACTATGCATAAAACCTTGACCCAGAAGCAGATCATCTAATAGTTTAACACCAGCTTCCCCTCAAATGTGCACTGTGTGAAGGGTGAGGGGGTGGCCCCTTTATGGTCACATCCCATTTCTTTTTCTTCTTATTTCCTAACTAAAGGCTGGTGTTCCTGGGTACTTACTGGAGCTATTTATCCAGTTAGCAGCAGTAGACTTGGGAACATTCAGTTTACAGGACGACTGCCTCATCTTCCAGCCTGGCTCACCTAGTTCCCTTTTCCTGATGGCAAAGTAGAAGCTCGGAGGAAAAAAGAAAGGCCAGCAGAGCCTGCTATCCTAGTTTTCCTCCACTCTGCTGGAAACAACGGTTAGTGTTCACTTTTTGTCCTCTCCCTGTAGCCACCTAGGAGCTGGTAAATATATTCATCCCTGAGAAGTAGGCCCCTGTACCCCTAATCCTTGCTTCACAGCCCCAGCACAGGTTGTACTCAGCTTGCCTTGCCTTTGGCCCTTGGAGCCTAGTCTCACAGCATGGGTGCAAACCAGTGGAAATAGGGATCATTTAAGACGTGCCTTTGATACCTGCAGCTTTCATGTGCTCTAACTGTCCAGGGTCTCCTTAATGAGTTACAATGATGAAAGAGGACAAAGCCACCTCTGGAAGAGCTCTAAAAGTGACCCAGGTCCCTTTCCCTTTTGCAGCCATCACTGAAGTGGCAGTGGCAAAACAAAGTTCATTCCTTTTGCGACTTCTAACCATAAAAGGCATTTCAAATGCACCTTCCAAACTCACAGGAAGATCACATCTTTCCCTCTTCCCAAAGAGCTGAGACAAAAGTACAATGTTTGATCCATATCCATCCAAAAGGATAATGAAGTACAGGTTGCGTGAGGACACTGTAAAGGTCAGCAAATTGGCAAAGCAGTCCAGGTTTAACAAAATAAATATGTCATCTACATTGAAAGGATGCAGTGGGAAAAGGCTAATGATACAACTGTTCATATGGACATTCACCCTGGCAAGGTGATTATCACTAGGCTAAAACTAGAAAGACTGAAAAAATCCTTGAATGGAAAGCCAAATCTTGCCAAATAAGAAAGGAAAAGGGTAGTTATAAAGAATAATAATTAAGAAAATACAGAAATAAAGTAAACTTACATACAATTTTCATTTTTAAAAAACTGCAAAAATTAAAAAATAAAAGTGATCCAGAGCCAAGAAGTCTCTGTAGAAGACTCAGACATGTCTATTCCATAGTTCTCAACTGAAAAAAATAAAGAACTCTGGTTAAGGAGAGGGCTGTATCCTAAGTTAACAGTGGCCTTCAAGTGGTACTGTGCATGATAAGCATCTGATTAGGATGCTGATTCCTGGACCTCATTCTAGTAGTTCTGGTTTACAAGCACTGAGGTGAGAACCAAGCATTCACATTTACAACAAGCAGCAAGGTCTCAGGCAATAACCAAAAACTCTCATTTATAACTACTATACTAGTTATATTAATGCGGGGTGTTTGAGAACCACACTTCGAGAAACAATGAGTTAGTAAAATCTTTATAGAGGAAGGAGGACTCATCTTGTTTTTGAAGAGTGGGTAGGATTTTGACCGATAAAGGAGAGGGTTCCACTTGGGGTAAATATCCTGAGGCCATAAAAACAGAAGAAATTATAATCCCAGCACTTTGGGAGGCCAAGGTGAGAGAAGTGCCTGAGCCCAGGGATCAAGACCAGGCTGCGCAACTTGGTGAGACCTTGTCCCTACAATAAATCAAAAAATCAGTTCAGTGCAGTCGGCAATAGAATCCCACTTCTAGCATCTTTCTGGTATTTCACCAGTCAACAGCCTTTTTACACACTCTGTTTTGCAAAGGTCTCACCTTCTCTCGTGAACCCCATTCTATCAAGTACTCCATTTTTAAAAACCATCAAGACAACATCCAAGACAGGGTGATTTATAAAGAATAGAAATTTCTCACAGTTCTGAAGGCTGAAAAGTTCAAGAGTAAGGCACCAACAACTGGTGAACACAGACCTTCTGCTGTGTCTCTAAGCCCTACATCTTCAATCCCAATGTCTGCTCCTAGACCAAGCCATTTTCCTTTACCTGCCCTCCTAAGGCAAGGACACCACCCTTCACCCTGCACTGACAGTGCAGCAATTGCAGAGGTAAAACAGGGTGGCAGCAAGGCCTACTTCTGTAGCCCAAGATTCAGGAATTACAAGGAAGTATTGATAAATTGGCAAAATGGATTAAAAGGCCATCTGCCAAACCTTATCAATCATTTTAATCTGGGTTGGGATTCTATGATTTATGCCTGTTACACTGACTCAGGACAGAAGGAATCTCCTCAGAGCTACCCAGACTTTGGAGGTTGCTCTTGTCACCAGAAAGCAGTCACCTTTTATCATCATCTATATTTAATCAGTTAGCGTGGCACAGTGATTAAGAAAGCAGAGTCTAGAGCCAGGCTTTCCATGTACAAATCCTGGCTTAGTCACTTACTACTATCCATGTAGTCTTGAACAAGTTACTTAATCTATCTGTGCCTCAGTTTATTCACCTATAAAATAGTAATAGAAATACCTTCTCTCTTATAGAGTTGTTGCAAGGATTAATTTAGTATAAAAAAGGATCAAATAGTGCCTGAGTAAAGTGAATTTGAAAAAAATATCAGCCATTATTATTATTACCAGGGTCTTTTACTCTTTTTTTTTTTTTTTTTTGAGTTGGAGTCTCACTCTGTCGCCCAGACTGG